TATTCACGAGTGTCATCCCAAAAGTTGTTGAGCCCGACGTTTGCTGAACTACTAGTTGCTGCTCTCGGCCGACCTCTTGAGGGTGCGCCGCGTTAACGGGCGAGCCCGCGACCGATAGTTGGGCCAAGTACTGGTGGTTTCAAGGTCGTTTTTATTGTTGTTACAGTTGGTGATGCAGCGAAACATGGCGGTTCTCGCTGTTTTCAATGCAGCGGCTTCATCTTGTTCAGCTGCACACCCTGAAACGGGAGGGGTTCTTCTACTCCTCGCTGGGGGCTTCTTGCGAATCGTCCCCGTCGTGACTGCCGCCATGGAAAGAGTGAAATGACGTCGTTGATGATCGAGAAGTATGTGGGTTCTGGACCGCCACGGCGGGATGTGGAATGATCTCCAGAAGGTCGGTGAGGCTCATGACAAGGTCTTCGTCCGATTCTGCAGACACCCGCGACCGCTCTACTATGACGTTGCACAGCGAATAGCGCCACACATCTAAGGGAAGGTGACAAATTGGAGGCAGCATATTCCAGCAGCGCAAAAGTTCGCGTCCCCCTTGATTAGATGGGCCACAAGAGGCTTTTACCTGTAGACAAGTCACGGGATGGGGATGGGGCTTGCGAGTGCGTTGAAGAGTAACACCGATGTTGCGGACGGCCTCATCAAGGAGTATGGGCACCTCATAAGCTTCCTAGTGACTCGCCGTCTACAGGAGGTGATGGATGCGTTTGAGAGGAAAGGATTCCTTGGCTACAAGGGTGCGATCGATGGCACGCATCTGTACATCGAAAAGCCAAAGAACGAGAGGGCGCAATGGTACTACGACCCCATGAGGCAGTTCTCGCTTATGGGGCAAGTGGCCGTGTCCCCCCGTACAGATACGGGTGGTACGAACGGCTGTACGGCCGTACGCACGGGCCCCCAGGCAGTCATATGGGCTGTATGATCCGTTTTTGGGGCCTTCCGGGGCGGGGCATGACATCTGAGGGGGTGGGGGGGGTGTGCATGTAGGGGGCTACCCCCCAGATTGAAAAAATAAAAATAAAAAAAATTGTTTGGGGGTTGAGGGGTGGGGGGGGGGTCGGGAAAAAACAAAACAATAAAAAGATTGATTGATTGATTGATTGATTGATTGATTGATTGATCGATTGATTGAAGAAAAACGATTAAATGAAAAAAAAAGAGGCCGCATTCCTTCATTTTTTTGATTGATTGATTGATTGGTTGGTTGGGGGAGGGTCGCCCCCCCCCAACCCCCCGTACCTTCTTTATTTTGATTGATTGATTGATTGATTGATTGATTGATTGATTGATTGATTGATTGGTTG